GAGGGGGGCATCCGCTGCGAGGAGGGTGGTAATGGCAGGGGATTTAGGGGACAGCTGGGATCCTGCCAGCCCATCCCAAGCAAAGGTCCACTGCCACCAGTGAGGCCTACGGCAATCACAGCTGTGGACACGGCAGTCCAAGCTGGAAAGGCTCTGGGGATTGTTGTGTGGAGCAAAAGCTATCCATTGGTTCAGTGCCAGTTGTACCACACTGGGCCAGCACCAGCCCAAAAAGTCCCAGGCAAAAAAAACCCAACAACTCACTGGCAAAACAAGCCGCCCTTTTACTGTCTGGTTTTGCTCACTCTGAGGGCCTGGAAAAGGCCTCAGCCCCAGGGGTCCTGGCCACCTCAGAGTGGTCCCCACCAGTTGACAGTGGTGACGGCAGCCATTCACTTGCCCCAGCTCGTCCTGGGCCCTCACTGCTCTGCTAAACCCCCAGCACCCAGGGGGTCCCGTCTCCCTTCCCATGCCTCAGTAGTGGCTGGAAGATGGGCATGCCTCCCCTCCTCCAGCAGCAGCTTTTCTAGCCCCACCATCATGGTGCTTCCTTTATCTCCCCAAGGACACTTCCTTCAGCTTTCCCCATCTCCCTTTGCTCTACTCCAGGAGATAAGGCACTGCCACTGCCCTCCATGCACGGGGACACGCCGCAGGGCAAGGTTTTGCTGACTTAGGGATAGCTGGCCCATCATGGCTCTATGGGCTCTGTGAGCCTTGCTCCATTGCCTCACTGAAGGAAAGCACCCAACAGCACCAGCGTTTAATAGATGCAGTTAGTTCCGGGTAAAACAAATCCTGTTTTGGGCACCAAGGCCGCACTGGGGCAATGTTACCCACCCAAGAAGCTCAGCCTGCACTTCCCAATGCCACTGAGACATCTCATGGCACCTGGACCAGGTATTTAAGCAAGAGGTTTCACTTGGACATGTGTCCACCTGTATTTGGAAGCTCACAACAGGAACTCATTTCCATGTATCGTCATGGTGGGGACCATCCTGGAGTGTGTCTGTCTGTGTGTATGTCTGCATAGCTTTCCAATACATAACCCCAGAAGATGCACTGAAGCCATCAAGATGACTAAAAGTATTAAACAAACAAAAATCCTTCAGTGTAGGAAAGAGACTAAGGCAGGTAAGGCAAAGTCTGCAAAATCCTGCACAGGATGGGGGGTGGGTGGGCAGGAACCATGTCTCAGCTCTTCCACTGTGTCCCCAAAGCCAGGGGCATGGCATGAATTCAGCTGGCAGTGACTCCAAAGTGCGAAGAAAGATGACGGTTTTTCATATGGCACATTATCAAACAGTGGATTACACAGCATGGTGGCATCCAGGATGTGAGCTTGCACTGATTAGATAAGGGCCAGCAAATACAGGGATATGACTGCTGCCTTGGGAGCTCTGGAGCTGCAGGCAACCTGAACCAGGGAACCAGGGAAGCATATATCTGCTGCTGTCAGAAACAAACATCTGAGTTAGAGGTACCCAGTGCAGACAATTTCCTATTTTTGATAGTGGTTTTGTGCGCATGCAATTCAACAAACACAACCTTCTTTCTTCTAGACGTGCATATACATCTAGATACACATATACATGTTTTCTCCTTGATTTTGCTGCCCCTACCCACAGGGCTGTCCCTCCCACAGGGGATCAGACCTGCCTGCGCCACAGGAGATCTGGGAGCAGCCTCCCAGGAGACGCTTGGGTCTGCTTTGTCCCACCACCAGGAAGCATTTCCTTCTCACGCAGCTGCTGCAGTGAAGCTGGGTGGTGAAACACCTTCGCAGAGCATTAGTTTAATGGACTGTGCTGGAAATCAGCCGGAAGGTATGTGTCCCATTGCTGTGTGTGCACAGCTCAGAGGACAGGTTCTTCCTCTGAAGCAGAAGCCTGGGCAGATTGCAGCTTGGGAGATAAATCGTTTGATGAGCCCCCTCAGCAGGCGGCTGCTTTAAGGACTCCTTATGCTGTCTCAAATGCAAGACCTGATTTTTGAAGCAACTGGGAGGTACGGAATGGTCCTGAGCAATTTAACCCTGGGTTTCAGTAGTATACAGTTCTTAGCTATGGGACTTTTTCTGTTTTTCTGTCTGTTTTCTAGCCTTATAAAGTTCCTCCTGATGCCATGTTTGTGTATCCCAACAGAGATCCATATGTTACTCAGGCATCAAGGTTTTCTGAGGCTGAACACAGCCCAGGCACTGCCCTGGTTTTAATTTGTGCCCACTTCCAGCTTGTCGTCTCATTTCAGGGCTGACATGTTGGCATTCAGCTTGTCTCCAGCCCCTGGCAAGAGGAGAGGACATGGCCATGCTTCAGCTCTCCCTCTCACTGTGAGGGCTTTACATCTCCCAGGTTTGTTGGCCAAGTCAGCCGCTGAGAGCAGGGTCGGGTTCAGGGGGCTCACAGAAGAATCTCATTTGGGTGCCAGCCACCTGGATTAGGGTCCTGCTGCAGCTGCCTGGAACATGGGAGCACCCCCAGAACTGGCAGCTCGTGCTGAGTGGATCCTAAGGTCTCAGCCACCGTTTGCTTCTCTGAAAGAAGCAACCTTACAGCGAGCTGGAGCTGCACCCTTGTTCTGCAGGACAGCAGTGCTTATCATCATTTACTAGATCCAACTACTTCAACTCATTCAGCTACAAGTTCCCAGTAGTCACACTAGCAACTGGCTCAGGTCCCACCTGCTTAATGCAGTCTCCTGTCTGTGTAGAAAGACCCCAGAGCATCCCAACCCACTGGAGGCAAAGGGTCTTTACCCATGGGTCAATCCTAGGGTCTTTACCCATGGACATCAGCAGTCCCTGCAGAGACGCATTTCTTCTACTGGAGGAGACTGTAGCACTCCTGACTTTGCTGTTAGACTAAATAGGTATGGCGGTGCTAAAACAGCACAAGTGAGGAGGCCAGGATAAGCTGCACTCCACTTTTCCAAGGCAAAAGAAAACTACAGAAGCCTCTATCATCAGTAATAAGCAACAGAGCAAAGTCATCAAAACAATGCTGCACACATACTTAAGCACAGATGAAAACTTCTCAGTTATCTGATCAGTTATTCCCAGCAGCAGAAACCTGACTTAGGATATTGTAATACAAAGCAGCAGATGTGAGGAAGTGGTAAAACACAATTGTGGGTGAAGAGTATGTGAAAGACCTAAAAAACCCCCACCCAGACGAAGTAGGGGATTTCTGCAGCAGCAGTGTGAGCCAGACATCCTGGGCCAGGCATCACGCTCCAGGGCCAGGGCACTAGCAGTTCCCAGCCCTGCCCTGCAGCCGAAACATAAGCTACTCAGGCAATCCAAGTCTTGCAGCCTCACTGTCGCTGACCTAAAATGGGCTTCAAGAAAACTGGATCCTTCCAGGAAAACTGCCTGTGTGCAGATTTGAGTCCCGGAAAAGTGAGGCACAAGGCAGATCTGTTGCCTTGTGTCTTTCTCCTGTCTCTTTCCTTTGTCTCCACTGGCTGATGCTCATTCCTCCTATGCCCTATGGGATGGATGTATCGGGCTAAGGTGAGCTATATACATGTGTGTGTTGATCCTGTAGCCAATCCCTGACTGCAGGCTTAAGAGCAGCCTGCTCCCACAGCTGGGCAGTGCTTTGCCTTGGGCTGGGCTCACCTCCCTCCCAAGTGAAAGGGGTGTTTTCCCCACGGGGCTTCTGCCCTAGGCAATGCCCTCATAGGCATGGCTTTAGGAACATGGGACTCTAGCCACTGTTAGGAATTAACTTCTGATCCCAAGGAGATGGGAATCCCAGAATCATCCCTCCCCATTTGGCTGGTCCTTTCCAAACAACAACAGCTCTTTTGGAAGTCATTGCTCTAACCAGTGCCAGCCCTGGCTTTCTTGTTCTCCACTCTCATCTCCTTCATGCTGTCCCTGAATCACCTGTAAGGAGAAACTGGGACAAGTAGAACTGGGCATTAGCACAGAGCTCAGTGTCACAGACACGTATAGCAGGAGACAGGATACGGTCGCACATCTCACCACATTCCTCACACCTGGCTCACAGTTATTTTAAGCTGTTTTTTCCACCTCACAGCTACGTTTTGTGCTGCTGCTCCTAGAGATCAGACACGTACCACAGGTCTCTTGGCAGGTCCTGCATTGGAATGCTGTGCTCCTGGGCACGGTACTTGGCCGTGGTGGTGTGGGGTGATGATATACTCCTTCCCATCAGCTCTGCAGCCCAGCAAACCCCTGACAGTGGAAGGCTCAGGCTCTTTCAGTTCTCAGCAAACAACCTGAAGGCAAAATCCTCCCTTGCTTGTCCCCTGCAGCATGGCTGGACAGAGGATGAGTCGCTGTCCCCACCTCTGCACTCCCCCTGCACCCAAACTGCCCCCAGCTCCATCCTGCAGAGACCCCACAGGGAGGAGAGGGGCTGGGGGGACCAACCCCCCAGGACACCTGCGCCCCAGGCACAGGCACACAGAATGGGCTCCCTTGAGGGAACAGCTGGGGATACCCAGCAGGAGTGATCTCTGTGCATATGCCTGTGTGCCTGCCTGACTCTGCCTCTCCACCTGCCCATTCGTGCCTGCTTCCTTCTGTGTTTCTGCTTCTCCTTGCCTGTGCATCTGCGTGTGCATCTGTGTGTGTCTCTGCACGTCTGCTTGTCTCTCTGTCCGTCTGGCTCTGAGCATGTCTATGTATGTGTCTCACTGTGAATGTGCTTGTCCCTTCCCGCGTGCCTGCCCGTCCGTCTGTCCCTTTGTGTGTGTGTGACCTTGTCCATCTTCCCGTGCCTGTTTGTGTGCTCTTTATGCGTCCGTCTGTCCGTCCATCCCCACACACGTACGTCCTCACCCCCCCCCCCCCCGCCGCCACAGCCCTTCAGCACCTCGGAGCACGGACAGCTCCCGCAGGCTCCTGCGGCCCCGGGGCCGCTCCGCGCACCGCGCCGCGCACCGAGCATCGTACCGCAACATCCCCCCACCGGAGCGCCCCGCCCCGCGCCCCTCTCCGCACCGCATCCCGCCCCGCCCCGCCGTACTTAAGCACCGCCGCAGCCGCCGGTCCTGCTCCGCCGCCATGAGCTACAGCGCGGAGCCGGCGGCTCTGGCCGCCTCCTACCGCCACCTCTTCGCTGAGGCCCCGCGGCGCTCCGAGGGGTCTGCGGGCCTGCGGGCGCGCCCGGGCGCGGAGCCGGGGCCGGGCCGGGAGCGCAGCGCTGAGCCGCGTCTGGTGCGGGATAGCGAAAAGGCGCAGCTTCAGGGCCTGAACGAGCGCTTCGCCGGCTACATCGAGCGGGTGCGGGCGCTGGAGGAGCGGAACCGGGCGCTGGCGGCGGAGCTGGCGGCGCTGCGGCAGCGGTCTGCAGAGCCGCGCCGGCTGGGCCAGCTGCTGGGCGGGGAGCTGCGCGCCCTGCGCGCCCGGCTGGAGGAGGCGCACGGTGAGCGGGCGCAGGCGGCGCTGGAGCGGGCGCGCCTGGCCGAGGAGACGCAGAGGCTAAGGGCGCGCTGCGAGGAGGAGGCGCGGGGCCGCGCCGAGGCGGAGCAGGCGCTGCGCTCCCGGCAGCAGGCGGCCGAGGGGGCCACCCGCGCTCGCAACGACCTGGAGCGGCGTGCGGCGGCGCTGCGGGAGGAGCTGGCGGCGCTGCGCAGCGCACACGCCGAGCAGCTGGCGCAGCTGGGGGCCGCGCTCCGCGCCGCCTCTCAACCGGCACCGGCCCCCTCGGTGCGGCCCGACCTGGCTGCGGCGCTGCGGGAGCTGCGCGCCCAGTACGAGGCGCTGGCGGCCCGCAACCTGCAGGCGGCCGAGGACTGGTACCGCACCCGCTGCGCCCGCCTCCATGAGCGCGCGGCCCGCAGCCAGGAGGCCGTGCGTGCCAGCCGCCGGGAGGCCGGCGAGTGCCGCCGTCAGCTTCAGGCCCGCCTTGCGGAGATGGAGAGCCTGCGCGGCGCCCACCAGTCCCTGGAGAGGCAGCTGCAGGAGCTGGAGGAGCGGCACAGCGCCGAGGCCGCCGGCCTCCAGGTGAGCTGGGCGGCGCCGGGATCCGACGCCGTTCCTTCCCCGCGCAGGGTCCCCGGGTAAGCTCCGCCTCGGTGCTCGGTACTGTGCTGCACTGGGCATCCCCTTCCCGTGCAACCTGCCCCAGCGGTCAGCACCTCCATCCCAGTAAACTCCCCTAGCGCTGTGCAGCACCGAGCACCCAGCGTTCCCCCTGCTCTGCTCCTGTTCAGCGCTGAGCATCTCCCACTGCAAGCACACTTCTGCAGTGCAGCCCAGTCCTCTGCAGCAGCCCCTCCCGCAGCGCTGGGCACTCCGGCCGATGCAGTGTCCCCCCCCGTGTCCCGTCCCGTCCCCCCCCCCCCCGCACCGTGCAGCTACCAGAGCCTCTGTATCCGGTGCTGTGCTGTATGCACGCAACACCGCTCTCCCCCTCCACACACCAGCGCTGTGCAGCACCAACCTCCCCCCCCCCATGCAGGAGCAGTGCCCCTGCAGCACTGCAGCTTGCCCCCCACCCTGGCATACGGCCTCTCTGCCGTGAACGACTAATCCAGCCTCACCAGGGCATTGCCTCCACCCTTTACCCATAGGCAGAACCCCAGAGAGCAGGTTCTGGGGGCATACGAAGGGCCAGGACACTCCGTTCACCACCACCTTCGCACAGGGAATGGCAGTGCTGTTTGGGGCATCATCCCATCCTTGCCCTGTGCCTTGAGGGTTATCTCCAAAATTGCCCGCACATTTCCTGTTGCTGTGAGTAGTTCCTCGAAGGTGTCTGCCCAGGCTTGGCCCCTCGCCCTGTGCCTGTCTCCTGGCACCTGCACTGCAGAAACTGAAGCTCTGCAAACGGTCAGGCTGGATTTGCAGCCAGATCCCAGCATCTCTTATGTCTGTATGCCACTCACAAGGGGCAGACATTGAGCAGTCCACGTCTCTTATTCCATTGCTGCAGTATTACATTTTCTTGTTACAGGGAAATGTTCATGATTTATAATAAAATAGATTACATGCCTATTATTCTATTACATGGCTATGAAATGATCTGTGCTTTCTAAATGAAGTCATTTCCTTCTAAATACCAAAAAAAAACCCACCTTACATCATACCTGAAAGACATTATTTCTCATCCAAGTAATGCCTTGTCATTTTCAAGGCCAAATTTTGCTGGCCTCTCTAGAACTCATGACTCTAGTTCCAAGCTGCTTGCAAAAGTCCTGAATAGTTGAGGTCTTCTTCAGCAAATATTGTGAAAATAGGGAATATCTATTTCCTGTCATGGATGAAAGGATTATGCACAGTAATCTTCTTAAATAGTCTTGATGCCATGTGAAAAGGGATTTCAGGAACAACCTATGAATTGAGGGGGAACAAAAAAATGCAACTGAATTAAATGGCCTTGTAATTGAAATTGTTTTAGTGATAGCACAGCAGTGTTTTCCCACATGACCCTCAGCAACTGCTTTAAGTGTGGCAATACATAGGAGCCTTTTAAGCAATGTGCATGTGTAGCAGCACATAATGGCTGCAACCAGTGGAAATGGATGGAATACTCTTAAAAGGGAACATTCCTATTGTTTGAGCTTTTGAAATGTTCCTATAGGCTGCTAAATCAAGGGCATGTCTTGATATCTGTAGGCTATCCAGTCAAATCTGGAGCAATATATGAGAGTTTTCCATTAGGGGACAGGTTTGCAGTGGTGTGAGGAGGGGGTTATTCTACCAGCTGGTAAAGCTGGGGTGTGGAAGGTAGGTACATGCAGGGTACCAAGGATAACCCATTTTTAAAGAGCATTTTGTTCATGCGAATGAAGGGGGCTGAGGGCACAGATGGTCAGAGAGCAAGAGTGGGGCTGTCCAATGACAGGGTCATCCCGAGTCCCTCCCTCCTGTCATGGCTCGGTGCAACTGCAGTCTGGCTGCATTGGAGCAGAGATTTTAATCTGCACTGCAGCAGCAGCCATGCATGTCCTGGGTGCAGCCATGCCTGTCCTTTTCAGGTGATGCCCCAATGGTCTCCTTGAACTGTTTTCCACTGCTCAGTCCTTCCTCAGAGGCACAGCTCCATGCAGCTCCATGGTCAGGCAGCACTGCTCAAGGCAGAGACCCCAAGGATGGCTGGTAAATGTCTGACAGGGCAGGATGTATCCAGCTAACTTGACTGAGGTGCCCCATGCCACATTCAGGAAGAGCTGCCAATGCTGCTCTGGGGCCCAGATGAGGCTTGCTGCACCAGGCTCAGCACAGCTCTCTGCTCCTTGGGCAGCTTCACTGTCATGGCTGTCTCTGGACTGAGCACAAGGAAGGTTATGCAGGACACAAAGGAGGGGACAGGATGGGAATGAGGAGAGGGACAAGATGGGGATAAGGACAGTGACAGGATAAGGATACAAAAGGATGGGGATGAGGACAGAGACAGTATGCGGATGAGGACAGGGCCAGGATGGAGATGATGTGGCAGGATAAAGCTTGTTCACTGGGACAGAGAAGCTGGAAGCTCCGAGGCCTGGCTGTGGGAGGGGGTGTGGGAGAGAAGATGTTGGCAGTGGCCATTGCAGGGCTTTGCAGGCAGGGCTGCAAACTGCTTACTCATTCCTGCTCCAAATCATGCTCCTCCAGTGGCACAGTTGGGTGGCTGGCAGTGGGAAATCATCTGATTGAGAAGATCCCTATAGGAACAGGTTTCGCTGCTTTCAGGCTGCTGCTTAGATACCTGTGGGAGAGAACCAGATTGCTTGTTTTCTGACCAAAAATAGAACAAAAACATTAGTCCCCTTTGTTAGCAGATCTGACTTTGGACTTATGCACATCACAGGTAGAACAGGATGTAGCAGCTATGGCATGGCAAAGCTGATGGAAAGGATGCTGGAAGGACGTTGTCCAGATGAGCTCTTGCAGAGCAGGCCTCTGACTCTGGAACCCTCAAATCCCTGCATCTGGAGCCCCGCACCCTCGGGCTCTGAGGCATCTTCCTGGGAAGGTGTCAGACTACCCCTCCTGGAACCAGCTCTTCCCTCCTGCCCTGGCAGCACTATCTCTCCTTCCACCACCTGAACACATCCCAGTCTTTCTTAAACACCCCCAAAAACACGCTGCAGCCCTTTTCCTGGCAACCTCTCTACCCATGGGCTTATGCAGTGCTGGAGGCTCCCATGTGTCCTGCTTTGATGATGCTTAAGCCGAAAACTTCTCATTCCTCCCCAGCAGTTCTTCCCTTCCCTCTATAGCAGCCTGCCTCGTCCCTGCAGGACTGGGGGCTCCGCCACCATGTGCTGTTTGCTCCCTCCATCTCAAAGCCCGTGCTGCAGATGGGAAACTACTTAAGTCCATCAATGTTTAAAGCCTTCCCCTGCAACACATACTCACAAGCCATGCCCAATGCATTGCCTACTACTCTATCTCTGTTAGCACGAAATTTCATGGCCTGAAGGTCCTAGTGGGATGTGCCATCATGGACCAACTGCCCATTGCAGCTTCCCTGTCTCTGCAATGGGCAGAGCAGAAAACCTGTGGGAGAGGTCCCCGCTCTAAAACACAGCCCTGAATGCCATTGCCTTTGCAGGACACCATTGGGCAGCTGGAGGATGACCTGCGAAACACCAAAAATGAGATGGCTCGGCACTTGAGGGAGTACCAAGACCTGCTTAATGTCAAGATGGCCCTGGATATTGAGATAGCTGCCTACAGGTAAGGCTGCTCTGACCCTGCTCTGCTTGGTGACCTCCCAAGCCCAATCCCCTGACCCCACCAGGCTCGGGTATTTTCAAGGACCCAGTAAAGTAGCTGGGAACACACTCAAGAAGATACACCATTGTGTTGCTCATCTTCCCTGCCTGGGGAGCAGCCATGGCTCTTTGGCATGCCTTGATCTAGCAGACATGAACCATGTCCCTCAGTCACCCCATAAGCGGCTGCTTTTAATGGGGTTGGAAATTTCCCTCTCTTGCAAAGTCAAAGTAGATGCAAAAGGCAGAGTCCCTCTGGTTTGTGATTTTATTTTCCTGGCATTTCTGGATGGGGAGGAGGGAAATGGTCTCATGTACCCCATATTGCAAATGCTCCAAAAATTATTCACCAAAGCATATTATTTTAAACCAGTTGCATGGCACAGCATGACCCAAGCCAGTGTCCACTGCAGGCTGGTGTGATGGCCTGGAGTGCTTGGACTTGCTCGCAGGTCACAGCATGCCCCCAGGCTTTGCAGATATTTCATGTAAGATATTCTAAGACTAACCTCTTCCCTTGTGATGTACTTGCAGGAAGCTGCTGGAGGGAGAGGAGAATCTCTTCAGCATGGGAAGCGTCGGCCTTTCAGAGCTCAATCCTCTCCCCAATCCCACTTACTCCTTCCAGCCAAGAGGCTTTAGCTCTTCTACTCTGTCCTTCACAGAGGACAAGCAAGGAGAGGTTATTAAAGTGACCTCTAAAATATCATCCAGCAGGGCTGAGATGATTGAGGGGACCATAACCTCTGCCAAGAAAAGAGGGAGATTAAACCTGCACGAAGGAATCATTGCAAATGCAAAGATGTAACTGTAAGGACCCCGTCCATTTTGCATTTGAGGGGGAACAGTCTCCACTTGGCCTTTAAATTGCCTCTCTGGGCACACAGCTGTGCTGGGCTTGCAGGAAGCCTCCTGGTGTTCTCTGGACACTGTCCTGGGGCTGGCTTCCTTGTGAGTCCTGCCATGCAGAGGCCGGGCTTGGCACATTGCTCCCTTTTAAATGGGGTGGAGGCACGGGCAGGTAGCTAGATGCATGTTGGTCATTGTTGTGGTGGCACAGTGGACTCATAGCAGCACAGTGGACTTGTAGCACCCACCATCCCCCCTCTCTCTCTCCCTCCTCCCACGGCATGCGAGACGGAGCCAGCTCTCTGGGAAGGGGGAGGCAAGGGAAACAACATGTTTACTGTAACTAGTTTCAAGGCTACAGCCCTTCATCTACTATCCAAACCCACTTATACCTGAACTCTCCCCCATTCCTCAAGCCACAGCCGTCCACTTTTAATCCCAGAAGCACAGAGATAGCTGTACTGGACTGTAACCACACCTGACACCTGGTCTATGAGCCACTTATGTTTTCAACTATAAGGAATATTCATTTTATTTCATCCTGACAACTCCATCTGGTTTTGGGCAGTGTTAATGCAGGCAGGCATGTGGGGTTTGCTAGCAGCAGAAGCAGAGCAGGGATGAGACGAAGGTACCACGATGGTGTGGAGAGCAGCACCTCATGTGCTGTCACTGGCTCTGAAATGTCAGGGTCTGCAGAGCCCCTCGTTTGGCTGCACAGTTGGCAGATGAAACCCCTGCACTCCATGAGCACTGTGCCCCAGCCAGTGCTGGGAAGCTGCAGGACTCCTAAGCACCAGCCCACAAAGCATCCTTGTCTCTGCTCTAACTGTTCCAATGTGCCAAATTTGATGTAGGATTTACAACCATAGGTTTCTTTCAATGCCTTAAAATTTGCCAATGATCGCTTTTGCAAGAGCTGGAGACTCTTCGTGTGTTGTGTGCCAGTGCCCTGGCAAGGTCATCATCACGAGATGGTGGTGCCAGAGTCGTTTCTGGAATCAGCAAATCGTTTGCTCGCACTCTTTCCTCTTCTGTTGTAAGGCACAAGATAATAATTAAAAAGAAAGAAATAGTTATGTGGATCAAACCGAGCTGTTTTGTCTTCTTTGCTGCTGCTTTGCCTCAGGAACAGACTTTGGTGTCTGGCCTGCAGCTGGTTCGGTCTCCAGCAGCCCCTTTAGGCCCCCGCAAAGAGCTGCATGTTGAGGTGCAATGGCCAAACTCCACTGCTGGGGCTGCAGGGCAAGGCTGGTCCCACCTATGCCAGTGGGGCCTCTCAGGCACCCAAAGGTGCCTGTTGCAGCAGCCCTTCATTGCAGACAGTTCATGGCTGGCTGGCTGAGGGAACAAGGTGTCCCATGGCGGAGTCCACCCTCACTTCCCCAGAAAATCTGCTCTGATGGTTTCATTTGCATCACTCCCCTGACAGTTCTGTCCCAAGGTACCTGCCATTTCTCTGCTCTGCCTGCAGGGGTTAAAACCAGCGCCTTTGCCTTCGTTAAGTAAAGACAGAGTGATTTACACAACAGCAGATGGAAGAAGTGAGGGTGAGGGTGCACCCACCCCCCAGTAAACACAGCAGCCAAAGGTGCCCACAGAGCTGGTGCGACCAGCGGTGGCTTCTATTTGGATGATACCCATACTCTGCCTGAGATTTACCTGTAAAGGAGCACACGAAGGGCAATAGAAAGAGCATGGGTGCTGTCCTATTGCCTTCCCATTCCTAGCTTGTCACACCACGTCACAGCAATCTGCCCCAGGGTCATGGTCTGATGGTCACTGGCTTCTCCACTACCGCTGCAGGCCAGGAGCCACTTCCCTTGACCCTGCCACACTGATAACCTCGGGGACGATGCCCTGGTGAGGCCACTCACAGTAGGGTGACACAGCCCCAGGGAGAGCAGCCCTGTAAAGCAAGGGGCACCTTTCAGAGGCAGGGAAGGGGGCTCAGGGCATAGCTGGGGCAGCACATCCCATCAGCAGCCTCCAGCAGAACAGCACAGAGCAACCCAGGGCACCCAGGCAAAGCTTGGAGGGGGCAGCACCTGCAGAGTTAAGTCCAGGGCACCAGTACATAAAGCAAGGACCAACCAACCTCCAAATGTCTCCTGGCTCAGCTGTGAGATAGGAAATGCAAACACATAGCACTTCTCACAACACAGGAGGAACAAAAGGCAGATGTGACTGCACAGCTAATGTAATATATTCTGAACCTCAGATACCCTCCAGTGCTGCTTTGTTTCTGTCCTTTGAGTATAAGCAGCCTGACCTGTCCTTTATACACCCAGCACAAGCCTCTGCAAGCATTCCTGCTTGCTCAGCTGGCTGGATGCTAGCAATGAAGCTGGGAATTTTACTTTGGTGATACCAGTGTGGAGGGGCTGCAGTCATGGGGGAGGCCAAAGGAGCTGCAGGAAAGACAAAGCACTGTTTTGAAGAACAGCTGCTTTGCAAGGGCCAGCTTGAGACTTCCTGTGTTTCTGGAGCTCTGCAGCATTACGATACTGTCTCATGGTGCTAAGCTTCAGAGGTGTTAGAGGGGCAGCAGGCAGGGAGAGGATGGGGGCATTTAGGACACACCAGAAAGGACCAGGCTGGATTTTGGATTACATTCTGGCTTTGACAGCCCCTCTGCTGGGCTCTGTTCCTGTGATCTTACAGGATCTGAGGTGCCAAGATTTAACTGGCCTGACAGCAGCAAGTAACTAACCCATCCCGCAGATGCCCTCCCAGGACAGGGTGAGCAAGAGCCCTGGCAGGATAGGGACACAGTGCTTTCCTGAAGGACACAGCCCAACCAGAGATGCTGTGCGGCAAGGGAAAAGCTCCCAGGGAGGCAGGGCTGGCCCCAGCTCTGCAGCAGCCTCTCAGCTACCTGTGTCCAGCCTCTGGCTGCAATGCCTGTGCTGAGGGAACCCAGCATCCCACTGCAGATGCAGCCCCTTCTTGAGACAGGCATTTCCTAGGCCTCAGCCCATTTTGGTTGCAGGATGGGAAAAGGGACTGCATAATGCTCACCTGAGGCATGCTGAGCCCCAGCTGCCCAATTCCTGTCTTCTGCTGTTGGGTGGGAAGACCGAGCTCCTGACTGGAGACATGGTGATGTGTGGCCCCTTCTTACCCTAAGGAAGGCCTGTGCCCACACTCTCCTCATCTTTAGGAGAACAATGAATACAGGGGGACAAGTCCAGCTCAGTGTGCTGCCAACACTGAACTCCAGCAAACTCCATCCAGACTTCCTTTTCTATTGCTGTCTTCTCCATGTGACTCCTTTCACCTGCGTGCTTACACACACCACAAGGCTCCTAAAGTGAAGCACTAAGTGGAAACAGCAATAACCCCTCCTTTGTGGTGCCATTTTTCTTACTGGGTTGAACACCAAGGTTGCCAGGGGAATGCAGTGAGTCAGACTGCAGCTGGTTAAAGATTTATATCTCTGCAGAACCTTGACCTCTGGGAAAAGGCAGCTGTGAACACAGACTATACCATCAGCCCAGGAAGTGGCAGAGAGTGGCACTGGAATGGGCTGCCCAGGGAAGTTGTGAATGCTCCATCCCTGGGGGTGTTCAAGGCCAGGTTGGACAGAGCCCTGGGTGACATGGTTTAGGGGGAGGTGTCCCTGCCCATGGCAGGGGGGTTGGAACTTGATGATCTTAAGGTCCTTTGATGATGCTATGATTTCTCCAGGATGCGCAGTCTTCACCTTATGCTAGGGAGAATTCCAGACTCTACCCAGGGTACAAATTCCCATCACAGGGCTGGCTGGTTGGTTTTTTCCCCTGCATGGAGATCCTGGCTCATGCACATGCTGCTGTGCTGTGGGGCTGCCTGGCTCTCCTCATTTTGTTGTCACACTGGTGAAGTGGGACAGTCTGTGCAGCCTGGCATGTTACCTGGGGCAGGCCTACGTTATGGTCCTGCTGTTTCACTGATGGAAAAGCCTTATTCCCATTGTGATCCTGGAACCAAGGGTCCTTCAGCTCTGCTTGAGGTTCCTGCAACAACTGTGCTCAGATATGCAGCTCCTTAAAAAGCAGAGAATCGCTGCACACAGAGAAGTTTTGCTAATGACCCTTGTTCAGATGCTGGAAGTCATTACAGAGTAAGCCAAAAGAAAAAAAAACAACAAACATTTTTCCATTGGCAAGAATGCAAACATTCCCTTTTCCAGACTGAGGAAGAGCCCTGTCATCAGCAAGAAGGAATCAATAGGCAATTCAGAGCAAAGTCTCTTCCAGTACCTTTGGCTGGATTCATCCAACTCGCTCCTTGCCAGCTCTTAGCACAGAGACCTCCGCAGGGAGAAGAGCTTCTTCCCCAGTGAGTGACCACGCAGAGCCCTTAACGCTAGCAGCCAGACAAATACTCCTGGATGAATGTCCACATCAGTGGGGTCTGACGCTTTAAAGCAAACTTATTAATATCCAAATAGCACGAGCAATCCCAGCTCATTCATGCAAGTCTTCACAGGCGTATGGCAGTAGGGGTCACTTGGCAAATGCTGTGTAACATGCAAAGAGAGCACTGCTTGGTGTAGAGTGAGAGAACACTCATTGACCCTGTTCTGTCCCAGCAGATTCCAGCTGAGCCAGAAGGGTTGCAGAGCTGGGGTCTGCATTATGGATGGGAACGCAGGGATGCACTACTAAGGCTTGTGCAGGGGCCTTCACTGAGACCCAGCGAAACCAGAGGGGAACCCACAGCTCTGGGACAATTATATCCCTGATGAAACAGGACGTACTGCAAAGACCTTCTGCTGCACAGAACTGACCCCTCTGGTGGCGCTCAGATGCGTCCACTGTAACATGAAGATGGAGCAGTGTTCATACTAAACACAGACACACCTACTTGGAAGGGAAACATCCAGAAAATTCCAGGCTGTAATTCCAGAGCCCCAGGCACACATCCACTTGCTGCTTGTAAATGGGAGCAAAGCTCTTGGGGTACTGTGAACATCAGTTCTGAAACAACTGAGGCACCAGAGTCGTTTCCCACTGCAGCAAGGCCACCTCAGCTCCTTTGCCTTTGAATAGAGACAGCTGCTGGCTGCCAGCA